ATTGTCCTCTAATGAACGAAAATTATGTTCTTCAACTTTTTAGTAGTTCTTAAAAAATGAGTTCTTCAGAGAACAATTTGTCCCCTATAGAGAACAAAAAGTCTGAAGAACAACACTTTTGTTCTTCAGAAAGTGTGATCTTCATCTTTTGTGTTTTTCAGAGAACACAAACCTTGTTCTTCAGTTTTTTGGAAGTTCTTGAAAAACCTGTTCTCTGAAGAACAAGTTGTCCCCTATAGGGATCAAAAAACTTAAAGAACAAAGATTTTGTTCTTCAGAAAACTGAAGATTCTTGTTGTACAAATCTTTGTAGAACACATATATGATCTCCATAGCGGACAAATGAAGATCATTTTTTTTGTTTGTTGAAGAACACAGATTTTTAACAGTGTAACTAGAAACTGATTTTGAAAAATGTTCGAACAATAAGTTGTTAACAGTCGATAATAGTGCAATAATGGCCTTAAAACGAACATTGTAAAATATCCATTTTTTGATCGTAGTACAGCTGCCACGTTTACACATTAAAACATTGCTAGTTCAAATACATAAAAACGGTCATAAAATTGTCATCTGTTTAGCCGAATTATTAATGAATGTTCGGTAGACAAATAATTACATCGTTTTTGATATTCTAAGTTTATGGTGCGATTGCACCTGCTGGGATCCTGCCGTTATAATGTATAGATAATGTTTGACACTGATTGCTCAAAGGACGAGGTGCAATATGAACAAGAATCGGCCCTATTTCAAATTTTCTCGAAAGATGTCCAGAATGAAAGAGAATGTGATTTTATGGTATTCTAGACCTCTGGTTTCTCTTCGAAGTTGACATCTGTAAGAAAATCGATTACCTTTGAAACTTTTTTAATATAGTCAGCGGTAATATTTCTATTTTTCCACCATGAAAGAACTTAGGTTGCGGTCTACATTATGTATCAGAATAAAGCTCTTTCAAAACTCTACAAAATGGTTGGTAATTCATTTCTAGTTGAAAGTGCGAATAATCACTTTTTCGGATATTACTACTGGGGGGTGATATTCTATATTGTACAGCTGTTTTACTGGAACTACCCGATGGGCACCCTGTTACGGTTAGTATTTGCAAAAATGATTTTGTAAATTTCAAATGAACAATATGATGATAGTATTTTACCAAATGAAAGTTTTGTTCAGTTGATACTACCAAGTTTTTCTTTTTTGCATGTTACTTGAAGAATACGCCAATATTTGTTTGCTATTAAGAGTATTATAATAATTAATTTATCTTAGACATATAAATTCTCAAAAACGAATGGATTGACGAGTATTCTGCACTATAAAACTTTTATTGATTGACTCAGAGCAACATCAGTCTGATTTCCAATTAGTTGATGACGTAAAATATAGGACGTGTCAATAATAATTATAAGAGAGTTGCATAATCTTTTTGTTTGTAAAAAAATGACTGTAATTTAATATTGGTATTTTTAGGATGCTGTTTTATAGATGTAATACACTAAGAAATAAATGTTATTGAATTTTATTATGCACAAAAGATCGTGGCTGTTTATGCGATCGAAATTTAATCCATAAAGAAGAGATACTTTTTAGCACAAAAATTTGGTTTTAGGTGTCCAAAACAAGTAAATTACTGTACAATCAATTAAACACAAAAATTATCTCCAATATAAAATCTATTGAAATAAGTTCTTGTGTTATGTTATGAAAAAAGATCCAGAACAGAGATCTTATACACTCAAGCCTGATTGGATGATTAATTTAGAAGACAAATCAACATAGAAAGCAAAACATAAAAATTGAGAAGTTTCATTAGTCATAATTAGTTTCTGGGTAAGTTTTTCTCAGAAAATTTTTGTAAATTAAAAAGAAGTGAAATGAATCGTATTTTCTTTACACTGTATATAGAGTGTTTATCGAATCAAGTATACGCGCATTGTCAAGTATGGACAAATAGGATAGAAATAATAATCGATAAAAATATAAGAGAAACTGATAGAGCAAGTCAACTCAAGATACCGATTAGTTCTTCAGGTTCAGTTTTTAGTTGATAATTTGCTCTATGTTTGACTCTTTTTCCGTTATACAACATACTTTTAGATCTCATCCCGTTTCAATAAGTTTTTATTTTCCATTATCTTTTGTCTACTGATCTACCCGTGCTAATTTATTCGTTTTTATAAAAAAAAATTCATCCTATTCCAAAGAAACGCATAAGCCTTCTACACAATATCGCTAAAAGGAGGAAATAACAAAAAAAAAAAAATTAGAAAAACAAAGATGAAAATGACCAATATATTTCGAAAAAATATTCTTAAACATGTGTAAAAAGAACGAACAAGAGAGCAAAAAATAAATATATAAATCTTCAACAATTTTACACCAATATGGATATGATCAAACTTCCTATTTACACACATTATTAGAATAGTTTAAAAATACAGTTTTTTTCTTATATGGTGCAAAATTAGGCTTTAACTCGTTCAAATGTAAACAAAATATGGAAATTGTTCTTCCTATTATATATAAAAGAACATTTATGAGAATCAAATTTCTAAAAATCACAAGTAATATAAATTGCGACAAGAGGAAAAAATAAATGCATAATGAATGCAATAAAAACAGAAAGAATAAGAATGATGTTGTATAAATTAAAATATCGATTAAGAGATGTGTTCTTAATCATTGTACATCTCAAAGTCCTACATAAAGATTGATCTTGCCATAAGCAAATATGCAATTAATTGTATGTGAACCCTTTTAGAGAAATAAGAAATACAATCTGATTTATACAACATAGTGGATACAATTTATGTATGATAGACTAAACTGGAGGATGTTTCATTAATACAAGTTAAACTTATTTGCTCATTTAAAAAAAAGAACCATCATTTGTTTTTTTTACTGTACACTAATTTAATCGATGTTTTCTTTCCTAGTCTATGATTACACGACGTTTTAGTGTTAAACATTCAGAAACCCACGTCTTATCAAATGTTATCTCGAAATTTGAAAATAATACCTTTTTATCTGTGTTGTTGTAAGTATGATTTTATTGGTTTCAAGATTGTTCAATGTACTAGGCAATGTTTTACTACAATTAATTTTAGATATCATCATCATAAATGAAACATGGGTTTGCCGTAAGGGATAACATGTCATTGAAGCTCATCTAGTCATGAACGCGAAACAGTTTGTATATTCTTTGAAAATTTTATGTATGTGTTTATGGTTGTTTTCTCAATTTACTACTTTATTTACTTTTTCTGGTTTTTGCATCACAATTTATCAATGGCTTTCACTCTTATGATTAATGATCGTTTAGTTTTCTGTTATCTATCTGTCTTTTTGTTTTAATTTATAAATGTGTGTGTGTGTTTCTTTGTCCTTGCTTGTGAGCTCAGTTACTGATATTCTAACTAATTAGGGGCTTTTACTTCTTCCTACATGATGAATGTAAAATATACAACAGAAACAAAAACAAATATTATTCCAGTAACGGAACGACACATAAGTTCTGTTTGATTAAGATATATGATGTTTTCTTTTGTTATATTATATAAAAAGAATTTCTGTTCGACAATTTATATCCGAAGCGAAATCGCTGCTGTAATTCACAAGTGTATACATTAAATTCAGGCAAGACCGTCACTTTTACCGATTATTTATACTTCGAATTCATCTGTCCACTCGACATTACCTAACAATTTGTTTACCTTATTCCATTCTCGTTCACGTTCATATTGAGGATCAAGATTGAAACGAACCTTTGGTTTCATTACGGTTGGTATAGGAGGAGACTGCAGCAAAGAGGATGTAGAATCATTAGGTGAAACAATATTCACTAAAGACGCTTGTTCAGTTAAGACCAACGTATCACTAATTGTTCGATGTTCGATTGATTTACTTGTTTTCATTATGGAAGGCGGAGTCGGTTTAGTATTCGAAATAAAATCAGATGATAAAGATCGTACGGTAGAACCGGGAAGCGATGACGTCACAAGCGATAGTAAATCATCTTTTTGCATTAAATAATATTTATTCATATCGTCTGTAGTCAACATTTTATCATCCGTATTCCATGCTATTGATGATGAACATACATCGTCTAATCCACCATTTAAACGTTGAGATAATTCGTATTCATGTTCTAGATCTATTTCGCCATCTTCAGCACTTTCATCGTCATCATCATTATCAAAATCGGCGCCTTGCTGTTTTAACTCCTCTTCTCCTTCTTCATAAATCGTTTGTGGTGAACGTACGGTAGATGATTCACTTAATAGTTCAGTTTGTCTTGAAGATGTATATAATGAACACGGTGGTGATGATACTTTCAATCTTGTTGTTATATTAGTATTCGTGCTGGATTTTGGCGAAATATTTTTTAATAGTTTCTCATTATCAATTAAACGTATCTGATCATTATCGGTAATTTCATTTGAAACACTAGATTTTGGCGGCGGCAAATAACTTTTTAGACGTTCATTCAAATCAGTTGCTACATATAATAAAAAAAAGTATGGTTAGAAAAACGCAAAAAATATTAATTTTCAAAATATTTCAACTTAAGTAAAAGTAAACCCTTTTTTTCAGATTTTTATCGTTTAAAGTATTGACTGTTCAAACAAAGTTATCATGAAGGAAAAAAAATGCTTCTGTTCTTGATAAACGCCCCATTTTAGAATCGAATGTTATAATGCTAACAATTAGCACTTTGGTACGATAGTACTTACTTGAATCAAAACTAATATTTATATTCTCTGTTTCCTTTGTTATTCCAGAGGATGATGGCGAAGACGAATTATTTGTCACGTTCTGTTCTTGATTCAATTTGTCTTTATTAACAAATGAATTTTTTGCTATTGTCATCTGGTTAGAATAGTCTTTGTTCAATGGAGAACACTGCTGATGTTGTGGAATACTATTATTTGATTTTAAATGAGATGTCAATTGGATATTAGTAATTGGACTCTTTTCTAATAGTTTTTTGTTTATTTCTAAATGATCATTGTTCATTTGAGATGATCTCATTTTAAACTCATCACTACTACTTAGTTCCGTCATTTTATCTAATTGAGAACTCAGTTTTAATGCTGATTTGAGTACAATCGGTTTTTGAAGTTCTTTCAATGCAAATTCTTTTATTGAATAACTATTGATATTGTTCTCTTCCACATCATCATCATCATCATCATCATCAAAATAATCTTCGGACGTTTCACTGTGTTGATCATCACTATCTTTCCTAGATAATTGTTGACTATTATTCATTGTTATAGAATAGTTCTTGCGAATTTTTTCACCGGTTAATAAATCAGTTTCAAAATGTTTAACTTCAATAACAGGTGACGAACCAACATTTGGAAAACATTGTATCGTCGTTTCAACAGAAACACTATCCCAATAGTCATCATCCACAGGTGATGACATAGGCAAAAAATCATCATCGACAACAACTCCGGATGGTTTAGTATCATCATCAAAGTCTAAACTTGTTGAGCTACGGAACGATGTTGAAGTTTCATTCAGAGGAGTAAGTGTAGTAGTGGTTGAATGATGATTATTATTGAACATATCATTTTTTATATCACATTTTTTACTAAAATCCATTGAACGAGATAATACTGGAGAAATGAATGCGCCATTTGTCGGATAAGAATATTTATTGTCTGTCTGAGTTTTTGTATATGATGATCGTAGGGTACTATCTGATGGATAACCTGTCCAGTTTTTTGACTGATGAATAGAATTAGTTGGTCGTTGAATATTGTGATTAAATAATGCAGTTGAGCGAGGTATAGGAATAGCAGTTGAACTTTTTCCAGGTAGTGTTGACATACATTGAGCAATTTGCACATTATCAGTATTATTACTAGGTATTAATTTCATCTATAAATGAGAAAATAATGAGTTTTAGATATAACATATCATCAAATCAAGAGCATGAATGAGAGAAAGGATAGGTAATTTCAAGAAAATTATGAATTGCTCAAAAGATGCATCAGTTTTCTTAAACATCTTTTGAGAAAAAAATACAAAAAGATCAAGATTTCCTACAATTTGTTTTACAGATTTCAGATTATTCCATCAAGATATATATCTAGCTGACTTTTTTTACTAACAATGATAGATAAATGAGACAACCATTTCCTATATAAAAAACACTCACATGGGTTTGAAGTGATTCTTCCGTTGGTACAGATGATTGCAATTTAGCTAACGAATTCTGTTGAGTTATATTGTTAAATGTATATGGTCTTCCTATGATAGTTGATAAAGGTTTAACATTTGTGTTAGAATTTGATTGAGATATCAATTTATTATTATTCGTTAAAGTACTCATATTTGAATGACCGTTTGTTAAATTTTTTGAATTAAATTTATCAATGTAATGTTCAATATGCGTCCGATATGACGGATCAGTATCAGCATCTGAATTGTTCATATCACTATTATAGTAACGTGAGCGTACATAATCATCAAACTGTTCAATAGCATTTGAAATTAAATTATTATTATAATTATTTGTTGTAATATTTTGTTGATTTTCACGATCAATACTTTCAACAGGCGATGTGACAGTAGCGGTTGATGATGCACTATCATCAATAAAACGAAAACGTTCAATTTTTTGCATAAAATTACGACGGAATGATGATCGCTTTTTTGTATGATTATTATTATTCGATTTTTTTACATTAATCAACGATGATTTTTCATTGAAATAATGTTGATTATCTGAACATGTAAAAGTTGTTGTTGAACTATCACTGAGTAATGGGGAATCAGAATTTTTATTCTCGGGAATATCTGCTGTTATTGGTAAAAGATTTTGTTTTGATGTATCACTATCGATTGTTTCACAAAAGGTTGCAGGATGTTTGGCAAATGAATTTCGTCTATCAGCAGATGACAATGATATTCGACGTTGATTAGAACTGAATAATTTTGTTGTTTCTGTTTGAGGAGAAACAAAATTTAATGAATATTTTCGTGGTGATTTACCATCATTCACTATCTCGGATTTTGTGACTCTGTTCGATTGTTGCAATGAATTTTCGTTACATGAACCAACAGAATGTCTTGAATAAACCTTATCAATTATTAATGGTGTTCTGTCATTTTCTTCATCAAAATTCTAGAACGAAAATTGAGAAAATTCATGTTAAAAGTGTTAATCTTTACAACATAAAATAAATTAATCTTTTACTACTAGAGATGTTATTGCTTAATCATCATAATTTTGTAAGTTTCCGTTGTCACAAACTTTTGACAAGCTTTTCTCCCTCTCTCTTTCACTCTCTCATTTCTCTTTCGGCCGACTTATCCCAAATTAATTGACACCAACGGAGATAAATGTGAAGTAAAAATGAGACCAATTTTCTTTCTAACGTACCTATATATTATCATTTTATTCAAATAAAGAAAAGTATTTCTTTCTCTAGTTTTCCTACCTCATTTGATCTTGGAAATATTTCATCTTGAAACGTCGATGTTTCCGGTTGTATCGACGCTGTTTCATTATCTTTTCTCTCTAGCGATACAACTTTATTAAGATCACCACAGTTAGTTGTTATTAATAATGGTTGTAAAATAATATTTTTATTTTTTTTTGCCGATGATGATAGAGGATAGTGTTCATCATCATCTTGATTCTCTTTAATAGATTTTAATAATTTTGCTTTTTTTATTGGTATATCTCGTGTTTTATTAAATGAATGTGTTTTTAAACGATTTTTCACGCTGATACAAGGCAAACACAATTTTCGAATAGGCGAAGTCACTTTTGAAGCGTGTGTTAGAATGATGATGTTTATGATAAATTTCTTTTCATTAATATACACACTAAATCTTTTTCTCAGTAAATTTTTAGGACGAAATAAGAAATGACGCGTCGTATATTCTCTCTTTTTTTTTTCTCAATTTCGTAACAGGTATTCTCAACAATATATACATATAAAAACATTCCAATTGACTCTTTTTTCTCTCTTTCTCTTTCGGCTCCATTCATTGATAGAGAAGTCTTGGTCTCACTTTTTTTTCTTTCCTATGCAATATTGTTGTATAGTACAAAGATAGATTAAAGAAGAGAGAGAAAGGAGTGAAAATGACACAAGACTTTAGGGTAGAATATGTAAAATGGAGTCTTTCCGTTACATTTATACATAACTCATGCATCATCCATTATATACATTCAATTTATTAACCAAATCACAAAGCTTCCAAAGAAAAACGGGAAAAAAACATCATCTAGAGGCAGCTGTTAATGTTCGATCTTACAGACTGCTACTATAATGGGGTTTCAATATTCTTTCTCTCTTTTACATATTCAACTGTGTATCTTCGTTTTTAGGAGGGATTACTTTATATACAGTCTATCTAAGTTATATGATAAGCCGAAAAAGAAGAAAAGAAAAATAATCAGTGTGATTCTTCGATTCTATAAAAAATTCAACGAACAATATTCTCTATTTGTTCTCTTGATAATCAACATTAGTGCTCCTCGGTGAAATTTGAGCAGTGAAGCGTTTTTCCTTATCAAATGAGGATAAAACACAATGCGATAAGAGATGAGATAACGTTTCTTTTTAAACGTAGATCATTGGATTCAAAATGGTCATTTCTTCTATTCAACAATATAGAAAAAATCTAATTGATAATACAGCGGAAATTTGATTTTTCTTTGTTTCATGCAAGCACTCGACAGCTCTGCCGTGTCAAATTGGCTCTTTCTTTTTTTCTATCTCTTTTCTTTTTTCCACTAGCACCATTAGTGTGTACGTGTAAATAAAGTAAACGGTTCTTATAGTCATTGACAAACTGGAAAATTTATAGTCAATCAACACCTCAATTAAGTATATCTAATTGATCTTCAAAAATAAAATGTTTTTTTTTTTCAGCTTCACACACAGTAAGCAAAGTTATCGCAATGTTGTTGAAAGAAATGAGAGTAATTGTTACAACAAAAATACTATTTTAGATTGTTGTATGTTTAACTATGTCGTTCATTCGTTCACAGGAAATTGATTTTCATTTGTCGGCCCTTTTTTTGCTTTCAATTCCCATGATATAATTTTTTTATTCATTCATTCATTCATTCATTCATTTACAGCGACATATACACATATACATACAAATGTTCTTGTCATTGAGTAAGCAACCGAAATTAGTCTTATATATATTTGTTTGTTTACTTTTCCTATACTAGAATGCCTGTTGTGTGATGTGCGTATATATGGACAAGAATCGGTATGTTTTCTGTCAAACGGAACGGAGATTAATCAATTGTAACAAAAATAATACTGTGTGTGTACAATCAACATTAATTTCTTGTCTTATTCACAATGGGGTTTCTTTGAATTATGCTGCTTAATAAGCGCAGCAACTAAATGTAATTTGTAACGTTTTCTTGTCTTGTCCATGACATTCTTGGCTTCATCTCTCCTATTGTCACAACTCCTCATATTTTAATTCATCTGTCTGCACATATGTAAGTAGTTCTGCTCAAATATTAATGTCTTAACAAAATGTACTATTTATGAGAAATAGATCAATCATTTGTGGATTACATCAAAAAACTCAAGTATTCAAGCGACAACTCGGTAACAAGAGAGAGAGACAAAGAGACAAAAAACCGTTTCAATTACATTAATAAACCTCAAATGATTTGAAAATACTCTAATCATTGGAGAAAATAAATTGAAGGATTCGAAGGTAAACAATAGCCATAATTTACTAATAATTTACTATCATCATGAGTAAATTTAAACTTTAAACTGTATCTACCTCGGACAATAGGTGCTCTTGTATAAAATCGATGTTAGAAGAAAAAAACAATAATTTGGGTTTAGAAATCTGCGCAGATATTATAAATAATTTAAATTTCTCAACATTTTAGTTTTAGAAAAAAAGCACTTAAAAAAACTAAATTACCACCACTCATCAAAATTTTTCTATTGTCTAATCTCGATTGTAGAACTTTATGTTACATCATATGATTGAAATATTATGACTTGATTATACATCTTTGGTCATTTTAGCCTGTCCTATTGTTTTCGTTAATACACATAGATAAAGAAATGATTTAAGATTTTGGTTTGTCCAAGGTCGAAGTTTGAAGGATGTGTGTGTGTGTGTGTCAATTATAGATTTTCATGATTGTAGAGAGAATATTCATTTATAAAAAAAAAAATCATTTATAAATGATGATTATAGAGAAGGATAAACAAGTGCAATGTATATTTCTATGCATTGAATTGTGATTGCGTATGATTATTATTATTGTTATTATTATTAGATTACAGAGAAAAAAGCAAAGGAAATAGATTATAAAAAACAAACTCAAGATACAGGAGTGGTAAAAATTATTCATATAATATGTAGCGACTAAGCCGCTATATATTGTACGAATAATTTATATTACCATTGTAAACAATCATATTAATCGTGTTTTTTGCCTTTTATTCTAACTGATAAAGTTAACAATAGCCATTCACAATAAAGATCTTATGTTTTGTAAACATTTGTTTTACTTACTTCATTCACTAATTGAACAGATGGGGTTAAAAAGAAGAAGAGAGGCACGTGTTATAAATGTATATTCTTGTTTATTTGTTCAGTATGTACGTCTCTCAGCTGCCCGATTAAACATAAGCCGGCATCAAACAATAACTAAATGATTTTCATCGACCATATGTCTGTCAAACACAGTAAACGAAAGACTAGTAGGAAAATGTCTCTTTTGTACAAAATATATGAAAAAGAATTCTAAATTATCTAATTTGGGATATTAATCGATTTCAGCGATAGAGTACAAAGATAAGGGAATTTATGCAAATAGTTTTTATTATCTCATACTTAGAGTATTATTTTGATGGGTCCTTAACAATCAGTCGATAGAGATCACGACCTGGCAGATATCCACAATGTTAAACTTCTTTCAAGCAATTAACGCAATGTTCTTAAAAAGAACTAAATATATAGTTCCTTAAACTTTCTAATCTCTGTTTTAAATATCAAGAATCTAATTCTGTTTACCACATATTAAACAAGAAAATATTTAGTTATACATGCTTTCAATGCATTCAGTCATAAACAAATAATTAGACAATCTCATTTATTATATTTTAAAAATTGGATATGTGATTAATCTAAATTTAACCGGAATCGTATGTATTGATATTCCATATTTCAGAATAAAATGTACGTGTTATAAACAATTCTATCATTATAAGACGTTGCACAATAGCAACAAATATAAAACATGTACAAAATGACATATGGAACTTGTTTATCAAAAGATACACAATATTAATGTGAGATAATTCAAATTGAAGCGTGTTTGATTACTTAAGACGTGATCTAGAATTATTATCAAAGAATTTGCTACAGTATCATATCTTTTTAATAAACATTATCGCTATGTATAATATTTAGATTTCACTTACAAGTACTCATTAATATCAATTCTGTTTTATTATATTAGATCAAACGTACCTATATGATAATTGTTTTTCTAACCCATACACGTACACACACACATACGCACAGTAACTGATTTCATTATTAGAGGTCTAAGAAATATAAACTGTGACAGTTTATGCTTATAAACTTTTAATTTTTATAAATAATTTGTGATTTATATCCTTCTGCTCCTTTTTTCTTTAAGAAATAGCAATGGGTGGCTATATTTGTCTATAAAGGCACTTATCGAAAGTGTAAAAGCAATTATAAGTAAAAATAACCTATTCATTGTAAAAGGTATAGGAGAATCGAAACCATAATCTTAACACAATAACAGAGTTAAACACTTACACTGTTTTCAATGATCACAGAAGATTTTTGTTGTGTTTTGTTATTATTGCCAAAAGACTGTGCTTCAATCTGGACGATTGTTGTTGATGTTTCCCTGTTATTATTATTATTTTTCGATAAATTAGATGTACCAGATAAATGTTTTCCAATAATAGACGATGACGATGTAAGAGATTTTGTTTCTAATAATAAATGATTTGGTAATTCCTGAAAAACATCTTTTAACTCCAAATCTTTTTGTCGCATCGACGACAAAACAATAGGCTTATCAAGAATTATTGATGAAGATGCTGTAGTTGTTGTTGCATAGGATGTTAATGATGCTTTCAATGGTGTTTTTACAGTGGATGGAATAATAGTTGATAGGATAGTGAGAGGTTGATAATTTAGATGATCATCAACACGAACGCTTGGACGGCTATATTTTCGTGTATAATACTAAAATGAAAAATAATATAAATAATACTAAATGTTCATCAGTTATTCACTGGTAATCTTGTAAAACTCAGTAAGATGAAACAGGAAATGCACTTAGCTCACACAAGAAAACAACAACATGTTCCTCATTTTTTTGATGGTTGTCCATCAATAATGAAAATTACTTAAAGTCATCCATGGTTGTGGAGTTGTTTTAAATACTTAATTGAATTTCGAATATCTTGATATTGAGACATTCAATATTAAGGACCGCTTTATTAAGTAAAATGCTTTTAAAAGTTACGATGACTAGAATACAAGTCAAAAACATTAATTTAACAAGTAAAACATTTTTTTGATAAAAATGCCGGGGGAAAGATCTCAGAAAAACTCATAATTAAAAGTCTTTCTTGCTTCGAATAATTCGACTAATATCAATATGAAGATTACAAATATATAGTTAATCTTGATAGAAAATATTATGTAACAATACAACAGTTCAAAAGTGTACTGAAGGACATGTGTTCAGGAGAAAATAGCTCGAAAAAAAACAGTCTAACTAAAAACAGAGGCTTTAATCACATACTCTAGTGCAGAATCGAAACTATCGATCATTTTCTTACTACTATAAAAGTGTCTTGAAAAAATGATCGCACTACAGAAGACTTGTAAAATTTTAAATGATATTTCTGGAAATCCACGTTCAGAGGTCTGCCCTTAAACGTACATCCTAATCTAATCTAGTTAAGACTCACATTCTATGAAAATTTGGTTAAAATTTCACGTTTTATGTCTGGGGTCTGTTCACCTTAAGGTGTCTCACCTATACTTAACATACTTGTTTAAAAAATTTCAGCCACTGAACTCACTCTTCGAATCTGTTTTACCGAAATTTATAGCATTCTTACTCAAAATAAATTAGACCCTCTACGTTTTTAATTCATAGTGACTACAAGATGCCATGAGGAACAATTCGGTGTTCTTGTTGTTATTTTAAATGAGACTGTTTTACTTCTGTTTTGTATTGAGTCCATTATACTGTGAGTGGAAGTACATGTGTGTATGTAATGCTTACCAAATGTGATTCCATCAAGAAAATACGTTAATATAATATAAATACATGTTTAGAATAATGTTTTTTAATCGAGATACTTTCCACTTATTGTTTCGTTGATTATAAAAATATAAAATAAATCTTTCTAAATCTATTTGATGTCATGCAAATGTTTATTGTGAGGTGTGTTATATTCGTTTGTAAAAAATAAAATGAATGTGATGATAATCTGTTAGTGGTATAGTTATCTGATACAACTAAATCTGTTTTTTCTTTTTTGTACACGACATATATATCTGTCCATGTATCTAATTTATCAGTTAAATTCATTTATACTCACTCAACGAGCATATTAGTGATGACAAACTGGAGCCTCACGGATTTATCCTCATTCATGATGCCTCATTGCACAACATCTTTTAAACTAATTTCTATTTTCGATTATAACATCAACACCATCTTCATTCTCCTTTGCTCTCCCTTCTCTCTCTTCTATTTTTAACGGGTAAATGGACAATACACCATTTTTTTTTTTTTTGTAACTATGGAACAAACAATATATTCATGTCTGAGAAATTATTGAATATATCTATCTTTCTATAGTGTTAGTATACAGATATTTATAATACTATATAAAAGAGAGAAGAAAAAAAAAAATTGGATGATGTAGTACAGTACACCTAATTAGAAAAAAAAGTTCGTTTCTATTTTCTCATTATTTAAAGACTTTATAGCCTATATTCAATATATTAAAATCAGACTGCATGCATATATTGCCGAGAGACATGAGAAACGAAGCGATTTGGAAAATTTTGGATTAGGAGTATTATTATGATTATATAAATGAGTAAGGAGAGAAAAAAAAATAGGAAAATATGCCACAAGCTATATAAATGTACATCAGACATTTTGTTTTATCATCTTAGGACAAAATGAAGAAAGAAACTTCATTTTAGCTATTTAGGAAAGAAAAATACTTCTTACCTTAAAGAAAATCAATTTGTGTGAAGATTAGTTTAAGAAACAGAAGTCTTCTTCTTTTCTTTTTTTTTTATAATAAATAACTATCAATAGATGAAGAAACAACAAAATTATGATACAATGTACTCTTTATTTCATAACAATTTGATAATTTAGCATATCTATACCATTCTGCTACGGTTTTATAATCGTGAGAGATAATTATAATTAACGGCAAGACTATAGATAGATGAAGCAATAAAATATGACCCTCTAGGTAGAAACTCTATAGACAATCGAAACTATTTATAGATGCAACAAAAAAGTCTACTATTTCGTTCAGAATTCAAATAATTTCTAATCAGAAATGATAAAAGTCACGCAACGATCTTTTCTCGAAAGATGAGGAGAAAAAAAAATAAGTTATAATATATTTTTTCTTAGATTTTAACCTTGTTCAAAATCATAAAAAAATAGAAAAATAAAAAAAAAATCAGAAAATATGTGCAAAGACCGATCATCAGGTATAATTAATTTCAATTAATAATGAATATTATTGAATATATATGAATATGATGAGTTACACCATATGCTGATAACAAAGATAAATTAACTTAAGATTGAAAATATTTTATTTTTCCTGCAGGCAATAGTTCTAATGGTTGAATGATATATGAGCCAACTTTTTTAGTGATGATGAGAATCATTCAGTATGCACAAGTGTACAACAATACTTACAACTCACTCAAAATATCACAAGATATCTCTTAGCAATTAAATGTATTTTAAACAGTATCCATGTCTTCTCAATATTTATAGTGAGACAAAAATCTATACTGATGTTCTTAACAATTGGGCAAAGTCACCGTCAGCTGTTATTACATAAACACTTTATATTTCCCAAGATGAAAATGATGACAATCGATCTGACATATGTATACAAAACAGAAAATTATTTTTTGTTCTCTACAGAAATGTCAAAGCGAAGATGGACAGGATAGTACTAACTACCATCAAACATCTATTTACTCTCAAACATATTAGAATATGGCAATAGTGATAATAGTTGATACTATCTATCAATTTTTAAAAAAAGAAATTTAACTATAGAGTGAACATCATAAATTCGTTGTGAAAAAAGGTCTTATAAGAAAATACAAAAAAAAGAGATAATTTTGTGCTCTTACTGAAAGGAGATTACAACTTCACAATTACTATTCTTGGTTTATAATAACAACAAAAATTCTATATATGCTACATTCGTAATTTTCTTGTATGGCAAGCGTCAAACAAGAGAGGACAAATGGCTTATTGGAAAGATGCATAACATCTGTCAATGAACGATTATTGTTCATAAACTATAGGAAGTCAAAACAATGATAACAGCGAAAAAAAAAGGAGAAAAAAATTGATCTACCATTCATCTATCATGATTATGGCGGGAGTTGTTATGTAATGAGAAGTAATTATTGTTTGAAATGAGTCAAGTTACGATATACATAGAATAATTAAACAACTATATACACATATACACACACATACAACAACAACATGTTTTCTTTCGAGTTCAAGGTTAAACATTTTTTACTTAAGTGACAATAATACCATCCAAGACTCAAACAATATATTCTCATATTTTATAGAAATTTCATTTTATGAGAAGAAAGAGGAAAAAAAAACCTAGCTAGTAAGAGAGAAAAAGAAAATTAACAAAAGATATTGAACGTTAAAAATTATTTTAATAACCTTATGCACTCGGAAAGGCGCATAATACTCTTCTTTTTCAGACAATTCTAGAAGAAATAAAAGATTTTAATGAGAAAAATTTTATTTGAAGAAAAAATTGTGCACTAAGATATATTTTTATTAATAAGCATCAACTTTTCATTAAAAAAAAATAAATAATAGGTATAATAAATAAATGCATTAACACTTACTCATATCGTTGTTGTTCTCGGTGATGGCTACTTAAGTACAAACGTTAGACATGCTTAATAGTGCTACTTAATTATAAAAAATAAGTGAAAGACAACGCATGCCACAATTATACGGTACAAAACAGAACTATAAACCATTATTAGAAACTGATCATATATCTAACTAAAGAGCGCAGCTGGATCTATAGAATGGAACTAAAAGATTTTTATCAAAAAAAAAAAAAAAAAAAGAAGAGAGTTTATTTTAAGGGAAACAGCAAGCCTAGAATAGGAAGAGTCTTATTAACAAATATAACTTTGAAAGGACAGAAAGAAAAACAACAATGAGACAAGTCACGCTTCGTATGGATGAAAATAAATAATATAAAGTTATCTCCTACTATAATAAACTGATAGTAAATAGTTATTCTTATGAGAAAAAAGAGAACTACACTAAGCCTATATATAGACTAAACAGTGAGAGAGAGAGAAAGGATGATTTATATATGAGGTTTTCAAAAAAAGATTGCTTCTATTCTATTCACTTGAGAATTTATTTCATCTGTATCACTCATCTAGTAATTTCTTTTTCTAATATTTTTAAACTTTTTTAGTAACGATAAATGCAAAATATCACCGATATAACATTATGATTATCAAATAAACGAAAATAAATTTATTTTCTATTATTTTAGATGATGAGACATGATACAATAACACCTTATAGTAGTGACACTGCTCACCCTTTTATTTTTTTATTTACAAATTTTACATGTTTTTCTGTTCTGTTTTCTAGTACTATATAGATTAGTAATGTTTTTATATTTGCTTGTCGCCTTCAGCTATCATTTTTTTTTTTTTCGTTTTTTTATAATGGTGCTGGTGATAATTATCATGTGACACCAGCTGACTTCGAAAGACGAAGTCGTATTTTAAAATAAAAAAAGTATGTTTTATCATCATTACTAGAGCTATATAAACTAAAAAATAGTTTAATAGAGACTAACAGACAGACATGTATCGCAAGGATCATAAAGGAAATCAGAATCGCAATGTTCCTTTTTTGCCATCGGTCGATTTACATTATCGTTTCTTTTACAATCCATCTATCTATAATAAATAAGGAAATCGTTACATATTAAAAGAAAAAAAGAAGAGAAAAAACGAAAGGATAGTAAATTGAATGTATATATCTCATCAATAAAAATATTTTTTATGGTGAGTCTTCACAAATCATATTGCTTCTTTGTGTACATTAGTGCCGTTTTAAATTAGCGTATTTTGATCAAAAAAAACAACAACAAAAAAAGTTCTGATTCTCAACTTGTCTCTACTTATTTGAAAATAGAAGGTTCATTTCATCTTAATCACATCAGTTATAAATTCAACAAGACAAATTTAGCATTTTCAAGATATTTCCTATTACAGTGGTTCAAGTTGTTGTTTTGTTCTTGATATAATCATGTTTAATAGTGAATAGATATATATGCATTTAATGAACTGTTCATCACATATAATCAAACTATGTTTTTGAAGCTAATAAACATTTATCAGATTAATAGATTCAACTATTATGACAAGAGAAAAGCAATCTTATTGATTGATTTCAAAAACAAAATTAAACTTACTCCAATACTATTACGCCGTGAACTCGATTCACTATAAATTGATGTTCCTCGATGAATTTCAATTTGTGTTGTTTCTGGTTCACGGCAGGCATTTCTGAAATTATAAAGAGAAACGATATAAATAAATTGGCAACAAGATTCTTGGTTTCAAACGGAGAAAAAAAAGGTAATACACGCAACTATCCGAATATTTTATTAGAAATGCAATCTGTTTGAATTATGGTACAAATGTTACAAAAGAATTATTACGGTTTATTATTTACGGTTTTTTTTCTCTCTTCTTATTATTCAATGAACTAAACAGGCGTTAACTTCATTGTATTGCATACTCATTGACAGAACAAAAAAAAAAAGACCCCATCGCGCATACACTCATTTGATAATTTATTGAAAAATAATCATAACAAAAATGATGACATATTTGATTTAGTTAATTAAACTATGGCAAACAACTTTTGATCTCTTTTGTTGTAAAGCACATTTGTGTCAAATCAAACAAAATTATCATTAAAATAAAACTAAAACTAAATATTCATTGAACCATTAACATCTGAATGTTTCTCTCAATAAAATGTATGTTTGAAGATTCTAGGCTACACAATAGAGAATACTGCAGTTCAAGGATTATTAATACATGTTATTACAAGTTGAGCAAAGAAGTGTTTGATGATGAACTCAACATATATAAATAGGAAAAGCAATCAAAAAAAGCTTATCAGCGTAGTTATTACAAACTCAAAACGTACTTTACGGTTTAAACTTTAAACAATAAAAATTGTTATTAAACTGAGTTTGATGACACTTTTTAAAGAAAGTGGATGAAATTCAGTTTAATTTCTTGAGTAGCTTATCTGATTTGGTTTCTACATTTCGTCATTGGGTTGTCGAGTCAGAGAAATGCAGACTCGGATTGTGTTATTGCCTCATGTTTGTTTGTGTTAATCTTCTTTCGAATTTTTCAAGAAAATATCCTCCTCGTTAGACGAGACACGTAATGAAGAAGAAGACAGACTAGTTTTCTAAAAAATGTTTTCCATTCTTCTCATTTATTAAGATGGTCCCTAGAGAATGTGATCTATATGGTTTAACATGACCTTTCTGTTTTTATTATGAATTCTCGTCTTTAAATCCCAAACTCCGGGGAGGAGTTCTTTCAGAAACGTATCGATAGCTGAAATGAAATTAACCAATATTTCTAAAAGAAGTGTGATTTAATAACAATGGTACAAAAATAAAACAATATATATTGGATACAATGTACAGCGTTCAACTTTGCATTGAATTCAAAGCTAAACAGGTGAGAATGATAGTGAGTACTGTTCTAGATTCGGTCCATATCGCGGAATATCTTTTTTCTATTTGTTTATCGAATAGTTAAAGAAGTAACTACAGTTTGTAGAACTGATCAGCTTTGTTTTTTTAAAACTTCAGATTGAGAACCATAAGTAGAATTATCTATGGATTCCATAAAAAAATTCTATGAGAACTCTGCAAAAACTTCGAAATTTATATATGGAAGTCGTCTAATCATTAACCTATTGTTGATGCGTTACCATCTTGCTCTTTTTGCGCATAGCTCTAGGCGTGTTTTTGTTCGGAAATCATAAGAGAAACAAAATGCGAAAAAACTGTTCAGGAATCACACTACGTTAGCAGAGTTACGTGACTAAGCCGTATACCGTTCAAGTTTTACAGCAAAAGCAAAAGGGAAATCCAAAAGATAACGTGCGAACACCGATATGCAAATTAGCTGAACATGCGATTTCCCAGTTACGTTTTCAACTATCTTTAGCTGCAAAAACTATGCAAACCTTAGCTTTGTCCTAAAGGGCCACAATTACCTAATGTGATGAGGATCGTTTTAATCTATATTAGTGGACGAAACCAAAAACAAGTTCTACTTACACATAAGCGCAAATGTACGCCAATTGCTTTTTACAGGTTTCCATCAATTCATGGTTTAATTTAATAAACTAATAAACGACAATTCATATTTAAATATTTACTGCAGATTAGTGTATTTCTGCATCATCAACAAACGGATTTTACTTACGTATCATAAAAACATAAAAAGTTTTTTTACTACATTAATTATAGAGAAGAGAGAAGTTGATCATGCAATACATCACAAATCATAGACCGATAACTTTACGTTGTTATAACATATAAGGAGGCAAAAAAGAGATAGATAATGATAAACAATATAATCATAATCGTCTATTTTACCTTTTCTTTAACATTAAATGTTGAAGAGCTATTTAGTCGAGACAAAACATATTGTTACATATGTATATGTGAGAGAAACGTAACTTTCTAGTACAATCACTTGTTTAGATATGTTTCTATAATAACTCAGGTTACAAGAGGCTTAACTTAATTTTCTGATGACTCATCATCTGAAAACTGAATTTTTGATTATATAAAAAGATATAAAAAGAAAAGGAAAGCAGCGCATCCTGTAGAGAATTGAATTGTGAATTTAACCATATAATTAGTGTTCAACTTTGTTGACTTTTTTTTGTTATTCTTTAGATATAATCATTTTACAAGCATCTTTTCCGTTTTTTGTAGGCCGACCTTCTCTTACAGTTTTCCCCAAAAGTCCACCACTGAAGAAATTTTTGGAGTGGCTAAATTGTAGATCAGACGTCGGTCTACACTTGTTTTTAACTAAATGTAGACCAACCTTTTTTAGTGAGATTTTTGGTCAAAGCTAAACGAAAACCATCAATACCGTACACCAGTCGACTTCTCAGACTGCGGCGAGTTTGACTACCTAATTTTTGGAGCTCTAAAATCTAGAGTCTTTGCTAAAATAATGGATAATTCTGAAAGTAGAATCACATAACGAAATTCGGACTTTTTAGATTTTAACACTAAAGAATGAAAAAACTTTTCTGCGGTTTTTCGGCTTGATGCATTTGCTCACAGTCCCACTGTCAATCATTCTCTGTCGAACGATGTAGAATACATCTATTTCAACCCTTTTTCTAGCAAAATCCTGCTAAAAATTCTCTATGGCAAAAACTGAAAATTGTCTCCCTCCTTACTCAGCCAGTATGAATCTGGCAGTTGGGAAATTTTTATAGGATACTCGGCAAAGACAGGGGAAGAAAACGTACCATTCAAACTTTTTTAATGAACACTTTCATTTTTTTTTATCAATTGTACCAGAAAGTTACGTTTCTCTCATGTATAAAAAACATTTAAGTGACGACGATATACATAAAGTGAACTCAGAGAATTTCTAGATGTAGACTTTTGAATTCTAGTCCTATCCCTAGAAGAAACCTATCCATTTCTTGATAGCACGTTAGAGAAATCTTATCAGGATTCTTTCAGGATTCGGCCTACTTTTAAATAGAATGCTTATGAAATCGGGGATACCAGAAAGTCATGAGATTTGCTAAAATTCTGTTAGGGTCCGAATAGGACTCGAACAAGAAAGTGTAATGATTGAAGCCTAGACAAAATCCTACGCACGTCCTACCTGTTTCCTACTAGAATCCTAACTTTAAGATCCTAGATGGGCGTAGCTAGAACATGCGTAGGATTTTGGCTAAAGGGACTATTATAAACGTGACCATTTATCAGCTTTATTTTGTTAGTTGATGCAACAGTTCTCAACCATGTTAAACTTAACTTATACAGCAGTGCCATTAGGAAATAAGTACTTATATAATTAACAAAGTAACTATAGAATTTTTTTCAATTTCTCGTTTGAATTGTTTATGAGAGTCAATTAAGAATGCTTATGCAGTTGAAATATAATAGGCATTTAATAGTCTATTGATCGACAATTAACTAATTGGTTAAAAAATATCTATTAAATGACACTAAACTGTTAAAAAACTGACCATTGATGCCGCCGTTAATTATCGGTAGTTTCACTGGGACAAATTGCTTAAATGTCATTTTAAGATATTAAAACATTCTTTTTAAATGCCTAAAACATGCAATAAATGGACAGAACTGTCCGTTTACAGTCATTTAACACACCTAGAATTGGGTATCGAAGAATATCTAATTGATAATTAATTACACAATTTTTGATGGTCTGGGGATAAATCATCTTTTAAGTAGGACAAACGTCTACTTTCTCTTGGAAACATTTTTAACGAACAACCGTTCCAATTAAAATTATGATAAGGTGAACATCCCAAAGTGGCAGTATAAAGTAAAGTTTAAAAAAACAACCACAATGTTGCCTCTAATAATTCAAACCATTTCTCTTATTGTTTATAGAATCAGAGGTATGTAAACTGCTTTAACGCTTTTTTTCTGAAAGATACCATAATGTACGTGAGCCGGCGTATGAGCGACCGACAGTTGACGCTTTTCAAGGTGACGTTTCTTAGGGGATCAGCAAAATCGAAAAATTTCTGCTCTTCCGATTTTTAATAACTTCGACTATAGTTGAAGCAGACGAATGAGCTTATAAAAGTTCAAAATTGAGGCAGAATGTATATGAGTGATTCTGGTGATTTTTGTACTGTTTTTGAAGAAAAAAAAAACCTAAAATGAAAGTAACCAGAAAAATATTTCAACACTGTAAATAGGGATAGAGGATACTCGACAGTCTATAAAAAATCTGTTTCCAAACTATCAAGTCTTCTCTGTCCAAATACTGGTTGTTTACTTTTTGACTCAGGAATCCCGAGTCAGGATCGAAAATGCGATTTTTTCTGATTTTCAGCTAAAGAAGCATAACTGAGCTTAAAAATGTATTGAAACATAGGTTTTCACATTATGCTCTATTGACTGGCATCCTTCAAAAAGGGTTTTTGACAATTTCTAAGCTTGGACCTCTAGAAACACAGGTATTCTAGAAATCCTTTGCTTAGCTGATTTCCAGAAAAGTGAGTGGGCTACTCGATCCAGGATGTCAAAATACGTATACTCTTAAAATTCGCGGCTTTATGTGGAAGTCCTTACGTTTCTCGAGACATGTTCAGGGGTGGAACAAAAAAGGGGGGGTGAGGTATTTCACTGTATTTTTCAAATTCTTTCCTTTAGAAATAAGCTGAAGCCTTGATATTTACACCACAACTTGTGCTGTCCATCTGACATATATGGTAAAAAATGAGTTCTTAATTTCATGTGGTATGGTCAGGAGATAGGTAAAACGGGGTGGGACAAAATGTATGTCAAGCCACTGGACGTCAGTAAAATGTCAATTACTCGAAAATGAGAAAAGCTAGTAACCTGCAGTTTTCAGCACTCTATAGTGTCTACTTTGGTGAATTTTTTCATAGGAAAACATTGAACTTTAAGTGCTTATTGGTTGCGCAGTAGACTCAAAAGGAGCTGGGGCATGATTTTTGACTTTGCGAGAACCACAAATTCCTTGGAAGTTTTCACAGAAACTAAAAATGATTAGATAAAACTAAGACTGCAGATTGACAGAGCAGATAAAATACTGCACAAAAAAAGAGGTTTTGTTCCGCTCCCCTTTATAAGAAGAAAAATGTTAATTAAGAAAAAAGCATGTGAAGAAATCACTAAGAAAAACACGGAAAAAAAAGAAGTGTTTTGCCTACTTTACACTAAGGAAATAAGACAGACAAGAGATCTTAGCATAGAATAAAGTGTTCGGTATAAAATGGCATAAGTTTCGAAAAGTTTGATTTAGTATTAACAGAGTTCTCCGCTAATACTAAATCATGCAGGTTCATTAGCTTAGGTCGAACGGTACAAAAATCACTAGAATCACTTATATGTATGTTCGCATGAGACTTTAACTCAAACGTCAGTTAATCGATAGTCTAAAGGTTTTCTTTTTATTCGTGATTACTTATCCGACTCTTATGATTTTTATCTTTATAATCGACTAAATAAAAGCTGAAACTCACAATGCACTATTAAATTGGAAGATATTAAAGACTTGAACAGTTTATTTTTACTTTTTTTAGAGAAAATACGAAACTTACTTCAATTTGAACATAGTTATTATAATAATAAATACACCAATGACAATGATAACAGTTGTAATAGCACGGGTTTGGGTTCGAGTCAATACTAAACGAAAAATTAAAATAAAGGTCAATAAGAGAATATTTAAAAATAAAACTTATAGTCTAAATCATAATAAGAAAAATGTATGTTCATAAGTGAATGTAGAAGGGCACAATTTACAAAAACCATCGATTGTCAGCGTACAGTGAGTGTTGCGATCGAGATCATCCAAATAATAAAGAGTGACAAGTGAGCGATCGATATTTGAAGCTACCACTTATGGATAAACCAAAGCAAAAAACATTTTTTAGAAATAGCTTAAACTAGAAGAGAATTTCCTTTTATATGGTCGATACTATTTCATAAAATTTCTTTTTTTGCTTGAAAAGGGACTATTGATAGTAGGAAGAGAAAGTACCACCGCATAAAGTTAAGAAAAACCGTTTAAGTATAATTGTAGAGAAAATTTCAAAAATCCTTGATAGATTTTAGAGATGCAATTTGTGTTTTCTCGGCTTCTGTGTGTTATAAATGATTATCTCTCAGATATCAATTTATCATTTAATTAAAAACTGAAGATATTTCTTACTTGGATCTTTCTGTTCACGAATGTATTCGTGGAAAGGTATTTTCGAATCATCATGAAAAAAACTTTGACGATAAAATGTTTTGTTGTTTGTTATATTCACGTTTGTTAATTCAACAGGATCATTATCATCATTTAAAAAATTTAAATTTTCATCATCAAATCTTTTATGAATTATTTTATGTCTTTTGTATCGTTTTATGGTGGTATGACGACGTATTTCATAATGAATATTGTTCATTAATTCGACGTGTATAGGATAAAATACTGATGTTCGTTGTAATTTTGTTGATGATATCATAGTATTACTATACAGACTTTTAGAATTAATTTTGTCAGCAAATAGAACAAGAAATGGAAATATTATTAAAATAAAAATAGTTGTTAACATTTTCTTTTAAAATCATGTTAGTAATGCCTAGATTTTGTTTGTCGTCCACTAGACTATTCTAATAAAAGAAAAAAAAACACATAATAGAAGAGATTTTAGTTTCAAATTAGATCTTTGAATGTTATTAAGCAAATTATAAATAAAATATTTCATATGAGTCACAAAACAAAAAAAAAAAAATTGAGGGCGATGGTTTCATTATAAACTCGGAAATTAAAAGTGACTGTTTACACAAAAAAAATATTTGGTGACTACTAATTAAATCAGTTTTGTGAAAGGAAATCATGTGGCAAAATAAAGAAGAAAAAGAGAAGCAAAATGATGCTAGCTGATTTTCAATTTTTCTTTATCATATACCACTCAACATTACCAAATAGACATAATAATAAATATTTATTTCAAATTTAATTATCGTTTCACGAAGGTGTAAACAGCATATCTACTGGGAGTTAAAAGATCTCCAATGAATTAATTAATAAGCTTTTAATATTCAACTAATTATTATCTAAGAGATATTTTTATACATACAATTTTTACCGTTTTATTATATTGAACATATCATCTTATCTTTTGGTCTATGTATAGGTTTATTGATTGATTACTAATCGAAATTCTTTTATCTACTTAATAGAATTAACGCTTAATGATCTGATCTTGTCTTATTATTAATAAAGATATCTTTTCTGGAATTCATTGCACTTGTAATATATTTTGTTCTTACATACACGTTCCATTTTAACACACAAACCGTAGGAAAAAGAAGCGAAAAAAAGAAAAAGATTTCTAGTTGAATAATACTGTATCTTCTTTTGGTGTGTAGAGACAATAGAGAAAGACAGAAAGAGGAAAAAACTTGTTGATTTTTTTTTTCTTCTATAGACAATGATGGTTCTTTTCATGGTAAATTACTTAGAAGATGACATATGCAGAAATAATTGAAGAAAATATATAAAAATAAAATCGGAAAAATTGACTTTTGAAAGATGATATTTACTATATTATATGCGTTAAAAGAGTATGTAGTTTAAATTTGGTATTATAAAATCTACACAATTGCAAATATATTTCCTTTTATTAATTACCTTGTTCTTTTCTCGGATACATTTGCATTATCCATTAATTATCTAATCTAATTTTGAGATAGTCGATCGAACTTTTTATGTAGTCAACGAGCAAAAATGAAACATTTTCTGCAAAGAAAAATACATCTTTGTATCAACAATTTTTTTATGGCAATATAGACATTTTTTTCGATTATGAACATTTTTAATATTAATTTTTCTACAACTAAATTGGAGTTCTGAAATTAGTAGTTCACTTTTCTATAGAAAATACCTCTTTTAAAACAATAAATAAACATTAATGATTAATCATAGTTGCAACATGCGAATCAGATTTTGACTATTTACTTCTCTAATATAATTATTAAAATTTAAAACTTTAAACAATAAACAAAAAATATCGAAATTGAACTATTAAAAAAAATTATCTTTTCTATGTAAAAATGAAATGATATGCACCCATCTCTCTTTGTTACACAACTGTAAACAAATACTGCAATGCATGATATTCTAAACAAGTTCTCGCAAGATTTATCATTGTAATAGTGCTTCAAATTGAAATAATTATTATTGTTGTCCTAATTAGTTGAAGGGCTTTTACTACGTATATTCTTTTGAACATTAAACAACTCGTCATTGTTCCCCTAAGTCACAGAATTATGTGGATACTATTCCTTGTTCATCATACACACACACACATGATGATTTTCTTCCTTTTTTTCTCTATTTTTTCAACCTTCTGTTTTTCACACAGAAAGACATATTTTTATCATTAGACAGGTCTTTTCAAATTTCTTTCTGTTTTTTATTTTAACTCTGTTTCAACCTGTAAAAAGAGAGAGAGAGAGATAGAAAGAGACAGAAAGACAAAGAGTCTTCATGCAAGTGAAAATTTTTTATAATAAAGAAGAAACGACGTTGGAATTAGAAAATAATTCCGATTGTTTTTAATGCCTACGATGTTTTAACAATGGACTACCGGTTGTACTGTTAAAATACGAAATAAGCTTTTGTAGCAGTCGTGTCAGCAGACAAGCTGTTACAAAATCAAAGATTAAGTTATGTCTGATGCCTAACACGCGCTCTACAGGCTACAAGCAAGTATCAAACGGTGAATCTTGAAAAATGTGTTTAATATCTGTCTTTAGTCAGAGACATAGCGGCCATTTAAAGACTAAGGATAAATAATAAACATTTTCTTTTGAAGATAGTATGATGTCTTCCCATATCGGCAAAGCAAAATTGTTTTTGCGTGATCACGCAAAAAACAATGCAAAAATAAAAGTGATGTAACGCAAAAAATGGTTACAAAAAAGCGAAATTCTGTATTAATCGATCTAATACAGAATTTTGTAAATATTTTGTTCTAGAATAATATACAGAATTTCGCTTTTGTAACCGGTTTTTTGCGTTACGCCACTTATGTTTTTACATGTTTTTTGCGTTATTCACTCGATTCACGCAAAAAAGATAATTTTGGTTTTGGTGACATGGGTTTATTCAAGAGTACATCTTAAAAAGAAAATTTTTATACATTTTCAATGTATGTAGTATGTAGAAATGCAGAAAAAGAACAATTTTCAACTATCGGATGGGAATAAACATGATCCACTTTTCAACGCCTCTATGTGTAATTAGCCTTAATTTCTCTTTTCTTAGCCAATAATTATTTTCTATTTTGAGAATTCAGTTTTGCACATGACATGCACTAGGATAAAATATGAGACAATAGACACACTACGGGCATCTTGATTTCACCTCAAACAGATAATGTATGATTACTTACGGATGATAGACAGGAGAGCAATTTTTTTCAAATGTAATAAAACGTAGAAGTAACAACGGAAAGACTATTACTGAAACAATAATAAACCTGAACAAAAAAAAGAAAAAAAGGAGAGAAGAAATTACTGAAAATAAAAATAAAGAAAATGAAAAGTAAAAGTAGCTATATACACAACCAGCATACAACAGTTTTAAAGTCAAAGAAGAATAAAGGTTAGCTTTCGAATGTTACAGTTTTACAGTTTGGAATCCATATATAAAATGAAATTTTAGAACTGTTACGGTTAAACGTTGAAAATGTTAGATGTGAGCTATGTTACTCGAGAAAAATAGAAGACAGAAAAATGATTGCAGGTCTATTGATAAGTATTAATCACAAAGGATTATCATGCGACTGCCGTTAAATAATGCGTGATTACAGGAAATAATAATTTTAGTTCTACCAGAACTCTTGTCTAACGAGGGAAGTACCCCAACTGATAAATCGCTTTTTCAACGAAACCGAGTGGACTATAGGTAGTCGACGATGCTGATTCCGAATATCACCATGAATGCTGCTGCTAGGCCTTCAAAGACCGATCTTCT